GTGTGTGTGTGTGTGTGTGTGTGTGTGTGTGTGTGTGTGTGTGTGTGGTGTAAGCACACAAAACATGTGCATCAGGTTGGCATTGAGTATGCAGCTTTATCACTCTCCACCTATTCTTCTGAAGCAGGGGCTCTCTTTGAACTTGGAGCGTGCGTTTTCTTGGCGAGGCTGGAGGTTAACGAGCACAAGATCCTCCTGTTTCAAACTGCTGCGGTGCTGAGGTTACAGACATGTAGAGGATGTCTCACTCGTTACACAGGCGCTGGGGTTGGGACTCTAGTCCTCATGCTCACGCAGCAAGTACCCTTTACAGCTGAGCCATCTTTGCAGCCCTTAACTAAAAGATGAACACACACACACACACACACACACACACACACACACACACACACCTTATACTATAGTTTGACCTAGTCCATTACTCCTTTTTCCTTAGAAATTTATATATTGACAGGATAATTTATTTCAGTGCAGCACCTACCTTGTTTTTTTCACGGTGATGTTGCTGCTGAGCTTCTCTAGGCGACATTCCCCAGTATCATGGTTAATAATCAAAATGCATTCTTTTAGGTAAGGTCTTTTGGAACCTTTGAAAACTGTAACTGGTGGAGTCGAACCCTGTTTAAAAAGTTATCCTCATTACTTGACATTTACAATAGGAATTCAGTTGAGATGAATATTGAGTTTTCTGGTGCTGTTTTGTTTTGGTTTTAATCTGTGTTCTACATCAATCACTTATAAACTACTTAAAATTACTACCGTGAAACCAAAAAGTGTGGCTTAAAAACTACAAAAATAGAGGTGGTTTAAAAATTTTGAGATCAAGCCAGATCTGGCCTCTATTTCTAGCTGCTCAAAAGGCGGAGTCAGGAAGGTCCCAAGTTCAAAGCCTGTCTGAATTACAGAATGAGTTCAAAGCCAGGTCAGGTAACTTAGTGGGGCCCTACCACTAGACAAAAACTTAGGAAGAGGTCTGGGGATTCATTTCAGCAGTTCAGCACTTGCCTAGGACATATGAACCTTTAAGTCCAAACATATATGCAAATATACACACATACACATGACATGTACACAGACACACACACACGAGCTGAGATCTCAAACTTGCTATCACCAAAGAAAGAAAAAGTAATTACCCTGAAACAGTAAGATCTGTTCTATTTTTGTTAGGCAACTGGGATTCAGTCTAATCTAATCTAATCTAATCTAATCTAATCTAATCTAATCTAATCTAATCTAAAAATGTATTTATAGGCAAGGAAACAGAAACCTTGAATCATATCCCCATTTTGAGATGAGCAAGAAAATGCCAATAAAGAGCAAGTCTTATTACTAATTCTCTTACGTGATAACAACATATACTTAATTAAAAATTGAAAAATTCTTTCTTGGCAATTCATGAACACTGATTCAAGAAATGAATTAAACTTTAGGATTTTTTTTCCTTAAAATATACCAGAAGGGAGTGGTAAGAGAAAAATTACTCAGTAACAGTTAAGTTTTCTATTATGTCATCCCTAACAACAGGTTAACGAGAGGATGTGGGAGATTGCTCACTTGGTAAATGCTTGCTATACAAGCTTGAGAACCTGAGTTCAATCCCTAGCATCCATATACAAAGGAGTGCAGGTTGGCATGCACTCATAATCCTTGCCCTGGAGAAGAGACAGGAAGGTCTCTGGATTTTGCTAGCCAGCTAGCCTCACCTAACCTGTGTACCTCAAAAAGTGAGGTGGATGGCTTCTAAGAAATGAAATGTGAGAATGACCTCTGGCCTCAACACAAGTGCAAACGTGTGTATGCACACACATGCACACACGTACACACACCTTTAAAAAAATCAGCCCATTACTATTATTCTGCAAATTCCCTTATTTTTTGTCACTGCCACCTCCAAACATGAAGAAATTTTACATTATTATTCTCTTAGTCTCACATATATAATTCCTAAACATAGTTCACCTGTTTTTATAAAATTTTATAAAAGAGCATTCAAATTTTAAATCACTTTTATAAAACTTTTATCAAGCACAATAGAACAATTAGGTTAGAAAAGGGTGACCTTCAGAAAGCTAACGGCACATCATATTGAGTATGTTGACAATTATTAGAGACCTATCAGATATCTACTGAAAGCACTGTGAGGTAAGTCTGGTGATTGGGAATGCCACGAACAGGGAGTAGATGTGGACTGGAAATGATGAAATGGAAAGAAAGGAAGGAAAAACTTTCTTAGCCTTTCCTGAAGCAAAAGTGACCTACAGAAATCAAGACCGAGTAGCACATAAAATGGAAATCTAGCTGATCTGGAACCAGAATGGTGAAATGTGAACACTTCTTTGGGACCCTCCTGAACTGGAGAGCCAGCAGTGTGGTTATGAAGAAAACAAACAAACAAACAAACAAAAAAACCAAACCAAACAAAACAAAAACAAAAACAAAACAAAACAAAACAACAAAAAAAAAAAAACAACTAACCAACAAACAAAACTGTGTCTACTCATCTGGAGAGTTGATTTTCAGACTCAGCTAAAAATAAGTGAGTAAACTATCCTAAAATAGAAACCTCTGAATGTCAAGCTATAGTTGACAAAAGATTTGTACAATCTGTTTTCTTAGAGATGTTTATTATTCTTTAAAATAGAGTACATTGTAAAGTTACAATGTATTATTGTGCTCTGATGTCTTAAAGAATAAGAACTGACTCCTTACTTCTTTAAATTGTCCCCCTTGGTAAGACTTTACAAACACATACCAAATGTTGAAAAAGAACAATATGAACAAAGTCTTGTCACAGCTCTCACATTCTCATTGTTGCTCTAATCTTAGGAAATTTAGAAACTTTCTTTCTCATCAAACTGAACACCATTTTTAATCTTTAAAAAATTCCTTTAACATTTGACTTTATGTGTATGGGTGTTTTGCCTGCATGCATGTCTGTGTACCTCGTGTGTGCCCAGTGCCCACAGAGGTTAGAAAAGGGCATCAGCTTCCCTGGAACTGATGTTTTAGACTGTGAGCTGGCATGTTGGTGCTGGGAATTAAACCTGGGTCCTCTGAAAGAGAAGCCAGTGCTCTTAATTACTGATGCATCTCTCCAGACCCACCATTCCTAACCTTTATTTTTTTTAATATTAGTTACAGTTTATTAACTTTGTATTCCAGCTGTAGCCCACTCCCTTACTCCCTCCCAATCCCACCCTCCCTCTGTCATCTCCTCCCTTCCCCTTTCCAAGTCCACTGACAGGGGAGGACCTCCTCCCCTTCCATCTGACCCTAGCTTATCAGGTTTCTTTAGGACTGGCTGCAATGTCCTCTTCTGTGGCCTAGCAAGGCTGCTCCTCCCTTGGAGATGGGGATGGGAGGAGGTCAAAGAGTCAGCCATTGAGTTCATTTCAGAAATAGTCCCTTTCCCCTTACTAGGGAACCGACTTGGATACTGAGCAACCATGGACTACGTCCGAGTGGGGGTTCTAGCTTATATCCATACATGGTCCATGGTTGGAGATACAGTCTCATAAAAGATACCTGTGCCCAGATATATTAGGTCCTTGTGGAATTCCTGTCATTCCTAACCTTTAACACTTAATTTCTGCTCATTTCCTTAAGGTGCCAAGTAACTTACAAGTATATAAGTATGTAAGTAAGTACATGAAGAATTCCTACATCTCCATATTCACTTTTATCCATCTTGAGGACTCAATCAACATTTCACCTAGATTATTGTCATCATTCTCTCTACTCTCCTTCTACTTTTGTTACTAATTATGCTGATAAGCAAATCAAATCATATTGTTCTTGTGATAAAATCTCTATGCTTTTAGACATTTTATGTACTCAGGATAAGAGTCATATTCCATAAGCCAATACATGGGGTCCATTGTGATATTTTCATTTCTTCTCTAATACCCTCATCCAGGATGGTGCATAGCTGGTTTGTATGTGTGATACTTTGGAGCTTGAATTTCTGAGATGAAACCTCTAAAACCATGATACAAAAGTTTCCTTTTCTCTTTATAAACTGATTATCTCAGGGGAGTTCTTAATGGAAAGCTGGCTAACCTAAAACAAAGATACCAAGAAGTGGGGTCATTGCTGTAACTGCAATTGACAATACGGTAATACCAACAGAAATATGGGAGAGTGAAGATGCTGTCAATGAGGTTTGAGATAGAAATAGGATTTTTGTTGCAAATTAAACTAGAGACCATTCTTGTTATCATCATGATAAATATATGCTTTTTTTTCCCTAATCCCTGAGAATTTGCAGGAGGTTGAGCTTAAATATGAATTTATTAGTGGAAGAAACTTCAAGGCAGAAAAGCACCTAGATTACAGCATGGGTATTACTTGCTGTTTTTAACCAGACTTATAGTGAGAACCAGAAAAGAATGGAGTATAAGGATTTGCAGGTTAGTTAGAAACAGGTGCATTATGAAAGGGCAGTTGCTAAAAATATCGATATTACTAGAAAGAAGCCAAATGCTTTGCACCTGGACGAAAAGAACAATGCCCCGAGAGTGTCTCTGAAATTTATGAGGAGATTATGGGCTTGGAGTTTTGAACATTTAACAATCCGGGAACTTTTAGAGGTATACTAAAAGTATAGTATTGAGAGATAGATTTGAGCTTGGGAGCTAGGGTAGAATGCTCCAGTTGGATCTGAAATGTTCCTGAAGGACCATGTATCAAAGGTTTGGTCCCTAGCGTGGTACTTTTGGGAGGAGAGGGACCTTATAGAAGGTTTTCAGTTACTAGAGGATACCGTAGAAAGAGATTTGAGAATTCTGGTCATTCCCCTGCTTATGAGATAAACTTTTTGGTTTCTTTTTTTTTGCTATGACTAACTAAAAATAGTAAAATGAAACTGTAAGTTTAAAGAAACCTTTTCCTTTTACAGACCGATTATCACAGGCATTTGTGACACAGTACAGATAACTGACTTAAAGTGGTCAGACAAAAGACATACTGCAAAAGAAAATGTAAAATAAGAGGGCACGTAGCTTATCTGAGATCTAAGAAAAAGTCTTACAAAGACTCTGAAGTATGGACAAATGAATCAGAACAAAACCTCAGTATATGGGAATGAAGCCATAGCAGTATTGAACAAAAGGAATTTGGTCATTTTTATATAGTTAATTTTTAAATAGACAGTAAATGTATAATGTAAAAGCTAAAAAAAAAAATCTTCATTTAAAGATATTTTGCAATGAAATGCTACACTGACAAACTTGGGTGTTTGGCCAAAGTGGCAGAGAACAGCAGTGGGAAGGAGGAGAGAAGGGGTCTATTAAGTACTGTATCCCCAACACCCTTCTTATATGATTTCATTAGTGTTTTGTCTGCATATGTAAAGGGGTCGGTTCCCCTGGAACAGGAGTTATAGGCAGTTGTGAGCTGCCATGTGGGTGCTAGAATTGAACCCAGGTCCTTTGGAAGAGCAGACAGTGCTCTTAACCGCTGAGCCATCTTTCTAGCCAGTGCTCTTAACCGCTGAGCCATCTCTCCAGCCCCCTTATATGATTTCATAAGAGCTGGAGGAGCACAGTTTTTTATAAATAACAGAGGATTACAGGTTTGATTATAAATAACAGGAAAGGGAAATAAACACAAAATGA